AGGAGTTGACACCGGTACTTAAGCTGTAAATTAAAAGTGTGCCTAAAATCACTACGTCTCTCCGAGGAATTTTATTAAAACGTGTCTACACTTCCCAATTTTGGTCAGAATCGGACAGAAATAACGGACACTTCCCTTGAAGACCTGCATGAGTTGTTGCAGTTCGAAGCGACTAGGTGGTGAATCCCCAGCCGGGGAATCCCCGACCATCCACAAAGCTCAGATATCAAATTCTGGCGATAGCGCCATATTTTTTACCAAATATATTTGATTTTCAACATGCCTATAATTTAAAACATTGCCTTTATTTAACACAAATATAAGAAGTCCTGATGATGGCATGTGAGCACCGAAACATTTTGCCTGTTAAGTGCTCATAAATGATTATTCATATGCATTTATTGTCAAGGTCTTGGCAAAGGAACAGCTTAATATATTTTATACAAACAACGAAGCTACTCAGTAGTTGTGTGTGATTTTCGCTAGCCGTCTGGAACTTTTTCTCAGCTGTCTGTTCTGAGACTCAGTCTATGTTTTTACTTTATCTGTAGTTTTCTTACGTAGGTGACGGCACGTTGGCAAACGTTCCCTCAACTTAATCTGTTTTAAATCTTTTCATAAACGGATGTGTTCCCACTTGACTTGATCCATGTTTGGAAGAGATCTGCATTACCGATACTCATGTTGATAGCAGTGTGGGCTATAAACATGGCGACTGGCTATAAAGACATGCTGTCTGTATCCTGGCATTAGACCGCCTGCCGCCCACAGACGGGAGACGCAATTACCGAAGCTGTAACAGTCCTTATACGGGTCACTGCCTGGCAAATTTCACTGTGACTCTAATGGCACTTACACATGGCTTTTATGCCTTTGTTTAATGTGGGGATCTTTTTTAAGGCCTAAGTGGCACCTGTTGGATCCTAAGTAGGATTTGAGGTTTTCACGGCCGTGAGTCTGAAGGTGACTGTCCTCTGGGTTGTTGCGCCGTGTAGTCTGGTAGATGTTCACCGACGTTGTAAATTAAAGCGTAATCTTTCAAGAAAATAGTAATGGGCATTTGCCTCTGAGCCTCCTTCCATTTGTTTCCGGCAAGGTCACGCCAGCGCCTGATTGGCAGTTCGTCTGCGGCATCTGAGTATATAAAAGTGTAGAACGTGCGTGATGGGGGAGTGTGATGTTTTGTATGGGTGTGAAACTTCGTCTCTAAAGTTAAGTTAAGGATATTTGAGAAGAAGATTCAGGAGGATGTTTAACACGGTAATGAACCCTCGGTTTCCATAAAAAACGGGGAATTTCTTGACTAACAGCGTAACCTTTCCACGAGGGCTGTGCTCATGGAGCTGGTTCAATTTGAGTTTCGTATAAATTAGTGAGTGGGCGGACACGTTTTAATAATGAAGTAAGACTCGAAGAGAAGATTTGCATATGAAGACAGTGGCAGTGATCAAGATAGAACGACAGGTAGGAGATATTTCAGGTTCCCACGGCGGCGAGTGTGAAGATGGCCAGGCTTCTGGGATGCTGCACCGCATAGTCTGATATAAGTTTACCGACGTTTCAGAGGTGCTTACTGCCTCATCATAAGATCGATCCAACAAGACAGACAACAGGCTGGGAGATTTGACACACGAAGGACCTACGAAGGAAGGGTAGACATGGGAATAAATCAAGAAGGAGCAGCTGTGGGAAGACAGAGATAAATTAAAGAATTTGTTGTCAGACGGCGCTCCGAAAGTGGAAACGTCGTAGAAGGAACAAGAATAATAATTTAAGAGACACAAACCAACATCAGTTACTGTAGACCCCGAATGTGAAATTAAGTTGAGCATTACATCCCGATTACGCGTGCAGAGAAGGCTGAAATATGTAATAGCAGCTTGACTGTATGGTTCGGCACGCATTCAGTTTGTTAACGCTGAAAGTGGACACTTCTTTGTTGAAATTAGGCCCAGTGTGTTTAGACCGTAAATTAACACTTTCATTCTGTAACATCAGTAGAGTCTGCGGTTCTCAACCTGTGTGCCTCGAACTTTTGCCAATTGCTGTGCGAGGTGTTGAAGATAACAATTATTATTATTATTATTATTATTATTTAGTGTTCTGTCTGACGACAGGTCCATATGAACAGGATCCTTCCATCCTTTTCTCGGACTGGGACCTGTTCATATACGTTCTTGGCAGATGATCCAGAAGTGGTTTGCCATTGCCTTCTTCTGTGTGTGAATGGAGTAATTGTTGGGATGCCACGGAGAAACCGGGGAAGCCCCCGGAGGAAAACTCCGTGTTACCTAGACCACGGCCTTGCCCAACACAAGTTATAAATTCGGGCACCGCCGGGAATCGAACCCGAGATCCCCAGGATTACAAGGCCAGCGTTCTAACCGCTAGATCACCTCATCTTATTATTATTTAGTGTTCTGTCTGACGACAGGTCCATTGTTCTGCCCAAAAGGAGCTCGTTTTAACTCTGAAGATAACAATGGTTATATAAAATTAAACATTGAATGTAAAGAAATTAAACAGTTTTTAATGTCACGTTATTGTCGGTAATTAAGGCTTTCTTCAGCTGAGGCAGTTATGTTCTAGAAAACAAAACAGCTTTGTATTTTATCGAAAGTCCACAAAATTCCTTTGCGATGTTGCGTAAGAATGAAGAAAATGTTAATATTAAAAACACCGGAAACATGAAGCGAAACGCACCTATTGGCAATAGAGAATGTAAGTGGAAAATTGCACAGATAATTATTTCTGCGCTAGCCGATAGACTGGTGCATTGTCAGTTAATTTAGGTAAATGGGCAAAAACTTGTATGTGACCCGCGCACTGTAAAATGTTGCTGCATAATACATTTTTTTAAATGATTGGAAATTTTATTTTGATTAATAACGCAAGTGAATTGTTCCAATAATATTTATAAAATATTTATAAATATCGTTAAGTGTTAAAAACCTAAAATATATGTAATTTTACGTACACACACGAGTAAAGAAGTGAGAGTTCGATTAAATCTTTGCAAAGTTGACCCAGAGCCGGTCTGGACGTTCAGTCCGTTGTCAGTCACTGTACTGTCTGAGCTGCATGCAAGTTGTGGGAGGCACCATTATATACGACGCGCGTCCAAAAGTAAGTTTCCCACTCGTCCCACAGCTAGCAAACCTTATATTGCGCGAAGCGACTGTGCGTACGTGATAGAGCAATGACGTAGCATGGCGCATGCACTAACGGCACTTCCCGCGTTCTCACAGTAGCATCGTGGCAGCTGTTGAAGATGGAGGTTCTTATTCCAGCTCCCGCCGACTGTGAAGTGCGGTCAGTGATAACGCTAGGCCGCACACGGCTCGACGGACAGCAAGTCTCCTGCAGGAGTTCAGCTGGGAGGTGTTTAATCATCCACCCTACAGCCCGGACCTCGCTCCCAGTGATTTCCATCTTTTCCTACACCTCAAGAAATTCCTGTCCGGTCAGCGTCAGCGTCAGCGTTTTGAGAATGACAGAGAGGCGGAGATGGCTGTCACACAGTGGTTCCAATCCCAGGCGGCAGACTTCTACGACCCAGGTATTCAAAAGTTGGTCCCACGGTATGACCAATGTCTCAATTCCGGTGGCGAATATGTTGAAAAATAGCTGGACACTTGCTGTATCTGTTGCAATAAATATTTCCATGAAATTGTGTTTTGTTTCTGTAAACGGCCCCAGGGAAACTTACTTTGTGGACGCGCCTCGTATAAAGCTTGGAAACCACTGTATTTGCTTAATATTTTTTAAATTTATGTTTATTTAAGAACTGTTTTACGATAATTTTATATTTTTTTATACAGCAAAGGACATTTCTTGAAAGTAGGTGTACTCTTGTTATAAATTTATTTCTCTATTCTAATTCTAGTGTGACGCGGGCAAGAAGAGTTGAGTAAACCGGTTGAACTCTTTTGCATACAATAAGAAGCCACTCAGCGGAGCCAAAATGCGTATGGCTTCCGTTCTTAGTCAAACTGGATCAAGTGTTTGGAATTAGGGCTTCTGTTACTAATTGGAAGTAGCTGAACGTGGCACTGCGGCGGTAGAATGAAGTACCAGCCTATTACATCGAAACACACTTCCGGTTCAGGCGTTTAAATTAGGGGCTCCATCCGCCAACACATTTCACTTTATTATCGTCACAAAAATAACAAACGTATTAGCCTTCTGTGCTCCACGATAAATAATCTTTGCGTTTTATAAAAGGCGGTGGATTTGTTGACTTGGTGGGCGTACGATCTATCACCTTCTTATGAAGGACTCTTTTGCATCGAGCTCGTTAGAATATGGAAATAACAAAACTGATTGAGCAGTCGTGTCAGCTCGTGTGGGCACGGT